CCACACCATGGGTTTAGTGAGGCTTCTCTTCTCAGCACACTTTATAGAGGAGCTCTTCCCAAGATTAGAAACCAGCTGGATACTGCCTCCAATGGAAACTTTCTGGGAAAGGAGATTCATGCTGCTTTAGAGCTAGTGGAGAACTTAGCAATGAGCAATGACACTTATGGTGAAGACTATGACAGATCAAATAGATCAGAAGGTTCCAGCTCTGAACAGAGGCTCAGTAGAGAAGTTAAGGAGTTGAGGAGTGAATTGGCCAAGTTGAAATTGGTTTCTCACAAACCAATTCATTATGTTGGTGAATATGATGATTCTCCAAACTTTGAGAACATCAATGAAGAAGGCTTGACACAGGAGGAGTTGAACTACATTGGGAACCAAAATAGATTCCAAAGGTTCAACAACTACAATGCCAACAACAACATGTCTTATAGAAGCAACAATGTGGCAAACCCACAAGACCAGGTTTATCCTCCTCAACAAGGTTTTGTGCCTAAACCTCAATTTCAAAGCTCTTACCAGTCTAAGCCACAATTCAACCAAGCTCAGACTCATAGTTTTGGTCAGCAACAGCAACCATTTCAGGGTACTGGTTTCAGTTCACAGCAACAGCAAAAGGCACCACCAGGGTTTGGTCCACCGCAGTTCCAGCAGCAAGCGCCGGTTCAACACCAGTTTCAGCCACCACCGGTTCAGCAGCAGCCACAGATGGGGTCAGATATGGTTGGGATTCTGCAACAACTGCTTCAGGCTCAACAGATATTTGCAAGCCAGAATGCAGCCATGCAGCAGGAAATAAGGAATTGAAGCAAAACCAGGCCTCAAGCTCAAGGAACCAAGGCCATCTACCTGGAAAGCCTGAACCCAACCCCAAGGAATATGCTAAAGCCATTACACTGAGGAGTGGAAAGGAACTACCTGGTATTGAGAACAACAATGTGATCATTGAGGACAATGATCAAACTGAGGGGGAGGCAGCCTTAAAAGATGATCAAGTTGCTGAGAAACCAAGGAAAGAAAAGGGTAAAGAGGTAGAAAGGGAACCTGAACCAGAAAAGGTATATGTGCCACCACCTCCATACCAACCCAAGCTCCCATTTCCAGGGAGATTTAAAAAGCAACTTGTAGACAAGGCAGAAGCTGTATTTGAGAAGGCACTCAATGAGACCCTCTCATTGATGCATTTCTAATGATGCCAAAGATGGGTAAGTTTTTGAAAGATGCCATTCTGAACAAGACTAAAGAACTTCAAGGCATGGTGGCACTAAGTCATGAATGCAGTGCTATCATTCAGAAGAAGTCCATTCCAAGAAAGTTGACTGATCCAGGGAGTTTCACACTCCCTTGTGCCATTGGACCTCTACTATTCTCTGGATGTCTTTGTGATCTGGGAGCATCTGTAAGTTTGATGCCATTTTCCATAGCAAAGAAGCTTGGCTTTAGAGTGTTCAAACCTGCAAGGATCTCTCTTATCCTTGCAGACAGATCAGTTAGATTACCTGTTGGGATGTTGGAAGATCTGCCTGTCAAGATAGGTGGTTTTGAGGTTCCAACTGATTTTGTTGTGCTGGAAATGGATGAGGAACCAGTTGATCCTCTTATCTTGGGCAGGCCATTCCTGGCCACAGCAGGAGCTATTATTGATGTGAGAGGTGGGATCATAGAGCTTCAACTTGGGTCTGAGAAGCTTAAGTTTGATGTGAATGAGATGATGAAGAAACCCACAATAGAAGGTCAATGCTTCTATGTGGAGACAATGGATCAGTTGGCTGATGAGTTGCTTGAGGAACTGAATACTGAGGACCCTCTTGCAGCTGCTTTAACTCAAGAACAAGGAGACAATGAGTTCTTAGCAGAAGAAAGTCAAGGGTACAAGATGTATTTGGACAATGCTAGAGAACTTGGTCCTGAGACAAGGTTCTTGGAACTGGAACAAAGTGGCTCTAAGGTTTTGGCTATCAAAGGATCAGACACCAGCCAATACAGCTTGGACAAGGATTGGAATGAGGCTGATGCACCCCCTGTTGAGCTCAAGCCTCTACCAACAGGGCTCAGGTATGCCTTCTTGGGCTTAAACTCAACATATCCAGTGATCATCAATGATAGCTTATTAGAGCATCAAGAGAGTGCATTGCTTAGTGAGATAAGAAAGTTCAGGAGAGCCATAGGATACTCTTTGGCTGACATTAGAGGGATCTCTCCTGACATATGCACCCACAGGATACACCTAGAGGACCAATCTATGTCCTCTATTGAGCATCAACGACGTCTTAACCCAAACCTCAAGAAGGTGGTTAAGAAGGAGATACTCAAGCTCCTTGAGGCAGGGATAATTTACCCAATCTCTGACTCAAAGTGGGTATCTCCTGTTGACGTTGTGCCCAAGAAAGGTGGGATCACAGTGGTTAAAAACGAGAAGGATGAGCTGATAGCTACTAGGACTATAACAGGACACAGAATGTGTATAGACTATAGAAAGCTCAACGCAGCCTCTAGGAAGGATCATTTTCCTTTGCCTTTCATTGATCAGATGTTAGAGAGGCTTGCAAACCATCCCTTCTTTTGTTTTCTCGATGGGTACTCTGGATTCTTTCAAATCTCCATAGATCCAAGAGACCAAGAGAAAACAACATTTACATACCCTTATGGCACATCTGCATACAGCCGCATGCCTTTTGGTCTTTGTAAAGCCCCTGCCACATTTCAACGTTGCATGATGAATATATTCTCTGACATCATTGAAGAGAAGGTGGAGGTGTTCATGGATGATTTTTCTGTCAATGGCTCCTTCTTCTCGGATTGTCTCTCTAATTTGTCACAGGTCTTGAAGAGATGTGAGCAGCATAACTTGGTGTTGAATTGGGAGAAATGCCACTTCATGGTGCAGGAAGGAATTGTTCTTGGGCATAAGATATCTGAGAAGGGCATAGAGGTTGACAGAGAAAAGGTGGAAGTGATGGTGAATCTGCAAACTACCACTTCAGTCAAAGGGATAAGGAGTTTTCTTGGGCATGCAGGGTTTTACAGAAGATTCATCAAAGATTTCTCAAGAATAGCCAGACCCTTGACAAGGCTGTTGTGTAAAGAAGTTGATTTCATCTTTGATGCTGAGTGTGAAGAGGCATTTAAGATGATCAAGGATGCATTAGTCAGTGCACCAATTGTCCAAGCCCCAGACTGGTCCCTTCCTTTTGAGGTTATGACAGATGCATCTGATTTTGCAGTTGGGGCAGTACTTGGCCAAAGGAAGGATAAGAAGCTTCATGTCATCTACTATGCCAGTAGAACACTTGACTCTGCCCAAGAGAAGTATGCTACCACTGAGAAGGAAATGTTGGCAATTGTCTTTGCTTTTGATAAATTCAGAAGCTACCTGGTGGGATCAAAAGTCATTGTATATACTGATCATGCAGCCCTCAGGTATCTGATGACCAAGAAAGATGCTAAGCCTAGACTATTGAGATGGGTCCTTATACTTCAGGAGTTTGATATGGAAGTACAAGATAAAAAGGGTATAAAGAATGGAGTTGCAGACCATCTCTCTAGGTTAAGAGTAGACTCTCAAGTCCCTCTTAATGACAGTCTTCCTGAGGAATCATTGATGGTGCTCAACTCTTATTTGGAGTTTGAAGAAGTGGATAGCATCCAAGAGAAGAGAATGCCCTGGTTTGCTGATATTGTGAATTTTCTTGCTTGTGGAGTGGAACCACCTGAACTTGATGCTTACCACAGAAAGATAATGATGTCTACTTTGTCAAATTGAAGTCTACTTTTTCAAATTGAAGTCTACTTTTACAAATTTAGGTGTACTTTTACAAATTTCAGTCTACTTTTACAAATTGAAGTATACTCAAACAAAAAAAAGTCTATTAAAGCGAAACGAAGTCTACACAAAAGGACAGAATATGACGTCTACTAAAAGCAATCAAACCAAAAGCAATCAAGCAGATAGTGGTTACCGGTGTGATGAGAAGCAATCGGCGGCGACCAGCTGCAACCAGATCTACAAAAAAAAACATATATTGTCACCCGTCGAGAGGAAGATAGAAAAAGATAGAAAAATATAGAGGAACAGCTATGTATATAGCTTCAAAATGACATCTCCTTACCGTTTTGAAGCAGGAAATAACGACACAGTCAAGCGGCTAAAGCAAATCTGCAAAAAAAAACCCTAATTTCAGATCTGGCCAGTGGTGGTGATGAACACGGAGTGTTGATGAACACGGAGTAATAGGGAAGCAGGGGGATGTAGATGGAGGAAGAAAACTTGCTTGGAGAGGGTTATAGGCGCTGGTGAGAAGTAAATCGGCGGCGGCGTTGACAAATAACAGAAATCGCTTTCGAGAGCTGCCAGTTTTTTTTCAACAGGAGTTATGGGATATCCTCGGCGGTTTTTTTTTTTTACAGGATCTGTAAAATTCCTTAATTATATAGTCTGGATAATTCTGTACGGTTAGGGGAAATTTTTCCAGTTAGGTTAATTATTATTTGGTACAAAACGGTTTATATTTAGGTCTAGGTAAGTTTCCCCGATTACGAAAAGATTTTTTGATTAGTGGAAGTTATATAGTAAACTTCGTAAGGTTCTGTAAGTCTTTAGTAGACTTCGTAAAGTTCTGTAAGTCTTTTGTAGACTTCGTCAGGGTTTAAACCGTAATTAAAACATCCGTTTTTTGTTTGGTCATACAAGATTATATTATCTTTTCACTATTTTTTTAGATTATTTTTGTTAAATGTTATATCAAATATCTACTTTTGTATTAAGAATCAATTTTCTAGGTTACTCTTAGCAAAAATCCCAATTATAATAGGCAGTACCATTCTTCAAAACTTGTTCTTTCTTGTTTCACGTTTTGAAACCATTCCCTTTTTTTTATTCTGATTGTGCAAACAAAAAAAAACTGATCAATCAGAAACAACTAAACAATTACGAAAATCAGAATCATACGGAACTGCCACAGTCCCAGACCACTCAATCTTCCCGTGAATCCCATCTCCAATCCAATCCAATGTGATCAAAGCACACCTAATCTCTCTCTCGGTCCTAGGATAATTAATCTCGGGCCACAAAACCGCTAGTTTCCCATTGTATTCCGTCATTACAGCTTCGTGAAACTTAACATCATGTGACATGATTCATGTCTCTTCACATCACCACCACCAACACCATTTACTCTTCTCCATATCTTAAGCTTTGCATCAAACCACATCAACCCAACATTAAAGAAGTAAGCATAGAGTAAATCAGCAACAACACACATACACCATACAACATCACTTGCCATCTGCATTGTCTCCAATCTTCCACATTCTCTTGCATTATACACATTGATTCTCCCAGTATCGACAGAATAAACCTTCCAATCAAGTGACGCGCTTATCCGCTTCGTCAATCCGGAATAAATTCTCTCTATAGGACTCTCAGCGACTTTCCAACTCCGCATTTTTGGATCGAAAACCTCTACTTGGATCTTGTTTAAGCAACCTCCGATCACGTAAATCTTCCCGTTGATTACTTCAACAACGGCTTGGCCAATTCGAGCCACCTTCATGCTTGGTCCTTGAGTTAACTCTCTAGAACAAGTATCAAGAATCCAAAGATCCGAAGAAGGTTTGGATGATCCACCAACGAAGAAGATCTCCGACCCGACCGCGACGGGTGTAGAATGGTACCTAAAAGGATGAGAAGGAAACCTAATCGGAATCAATCGATACTCAGTCTTCGTTTTCGTCTCCTGAATCGGACGGAGAGTGAACAAATCACCATTGAGGAAGGAGACATAGGTGGAGTCTTTTGGGAGCAAAGATCGCAAACGGTGGAGCTCAGGAGACCGAACAAGAGACCTTAGGGTTTTTGAAACGCAAGAGAGGTTTCGGTCATAAATTTTTGGAAGGCGGAGTAAGCACTGCAAAACGATTTCGTCGGGCAACGACAAAAGTGACGGCGACGATGGATCGTAGTTGTCTTCTCGTGGTGGCTTGCTGCCGATGAAAGAAGAGAGTCTTCTGATTTTCTTCAGAGGAGGAGACATGATCGTGTTAAGAGGATAAAAAATTAAAGAACTAACAACAATGACTATATATATAACAAGAAATTATTAATTACCTTTTTTAGTCGGCAACTGATATTTACCTTTTTTATTGTTCAAAGATATTTACCTCTTTTATGTAACGTCATATTAGCGACTTTTTTTGTCAACTATTATTACGGATTACAATTTAGTGATTTACCTTTGCCTTACAAGAAAATATTTTTTTTCAAAATAGTTTTTTCGAAAAAAGATATCTTGATTATTCTACCACAAAAATAAGTTTTTGTTCCAATCATATTTTGCTTTTCAGAATGTAAGAATATTTTCTTAAGTGATATGTGTCTATGGATTTAACTATAATGTATGAGGTTAGAGTCATGAACAAATCTCTGAAATTAGGATTGATCAGAGCCATGAGAGTGATGTATCAGATTGCCAGAAATAGCTTCGGAAGAACATAGTCGATGTAGGAGACGAAAGCTACCTATAGAGAAGATGTGAGCAAAGATGAATTTTATTAGTAATGCATGATCTTACTCGCAGTAAGAAACGAAAGCTACTTGTCGAGTTTAAGTGATTTGTTGGTTAAGATGACGAGAGTTGGTTAGCCATATAAGTGTCTATTCTAGTTCCATGCAGATCCTAGAAAAAGATTAAGATATTCTTTCATGAGACTAGTCAGAAGATGCTTAGATATAGATTAGGATAAACAAGGAAAGTATGCCTCACCTCCTATGAGTTTAGAACCCTAGTTTGAATTGAGCATCCCGTAGATTGGCCTTAGCAACTTAACCTTTTTTCATTTTTAGTCTTTAGTCGAATTAGTTTAGCATTAGGTCTAGTTTTATTTTGTCTTTTCTTTTCCTGTACAAAACCAAAACCAAACCAAAACCCCCTTGAGTTTATTATTTCACTTATTTATCCCAGTTTAAGGTTTCTGCAGATTAGACATCCTTCCTGTTGATCGACACCCGAAGTACTACACCACATGACTGTGCACTTGCAGTATTCTAAGGTTTTATAAATTTAAAATTTATTTGCGACCCGCTAACCCTAACCCGCATCAACTGCGTCTTCATCTGGTTCAGCTCACACCGCAGAACCACTGAATCCTCCACACGTACATGAGAAGTCGCAGAAGCGACAAGGTTATCTCGGATGGATCCCATTCCTAAAACCCTGTCCCTCTTCCGAGGGGCAATCTGTAAAAGATTTTTATAAAAACATACTTCCTCGTAGATCTTGTCCATCTCGGGCACCGTCAGCGTCGATGTGGACTAGACTGAACTACCTCCGGAAGACGACGGAGGCGCTTTCTGAGAGAGCTGAGTATGCCGCTCCACAATCCTCTCGCACGCGACGTTGTAGATCTCCTCCGCTTGAAGATCTGTGAATTCGCCGTTCTTTTTCTTGTGCGTCTTGGTGAACACATTTGTCATTGGAGGAAGATCTCCCCTGTTTTCTTCGGCCTACAAAATCATAACAAAAATGTTAATTAGGAAAATTATATAAGTTAAAAAAACAAAATTATGAAAACCTACCATTATAAGGCGTCTGCCGGCAAAAGGATCTTGACTAGAAGTGTGCGAGACGTTCTTCGGTTGCCCCTGCTCATCTACATTATTTCTGAAAAAAGGAAAATTAGTTACCTATATATATATATATATATATATAGGTAAAAATATTAGAACTTCAATTCATTATATATTAAAAAAATACACAAACCTGGAATCGGAATATTTCAAGGCAATGGTCTGGGAATGCAGATCCAACCAATTCTGCACTAGTCCCTCCCACACCGCGTCAGCCATTGGCACCGGCTTCGCCCTGTTCCCCTCAACCCCCCACTTCCGCTTCCAGTCAGAAATGGTGTTATTGAGGTGGAGCTTGACTCTGTCCCAAAACTTTGTCTTCAGCCGCTCGTGTGTGCAAAGTTTTCAACGCCACTTTTGCTATATAAAAAAAATCATTAGAAATAAATCAAAAAAATAAATAAATTAATATTAAAACTTATCGCGAAACACTTGAACCAAGTGTCGAATGTAGATTGATTCAGCTTCTTAAAGCTAACATTAAGAAGAACCCCTTGATGGTATCTGAGACGCTCCGACCAACCATGTTGTCGATACCAAACCTACATCAAAAAATTATATGTTAAATATAATTAATATATATATATATATATTGTAATTAAGATTTTTTTAAAACAAAACAACGTACCGAAACGTCCCTGGGTCAGACCGGATCTAATTACTTCAAGCTGCCACGGTCCAGTTGCGTTAGAAGATCCTTAACTGTATATTGAGCATACAGCTGAGGAGCTATAGAGGCTGGCCCTCCTCTTTCTGCTGCTATTGGTGGTGGTGGTGGTGGAGGTCGCGGAACTAAACCCGGTTGAAGTCCCAGGTGCTGTGAAACCGCAGTCTGTGTTCCCGTCGAGTCTGGTATCACAGACTCGGTAGAAGAGTCTGAAAGACCGCTACCATCTGCATGAGGTCCCGTCTGCATAAGGTTCCGATAATGGAATCTATGGAGAGCCATCTCAATCTGCAAATTAATTAAAAACAAATTTAATATTTTTATCCATTTTTTTCTAAATTCCAATCTTATCTAAATTTTAATCCTAAAAATTATATCTATCTAAAAAAAAATTTGAAAAAAAATTGAAGTTACATATATATATATATATATATATATATATATATATATTTACAATTATTCAGGTTCGCGGAGAGGAAGAGTAAGAGAAAGTGTGAAATGAGCAAATAAGAAGGAAATCTCGTGTCCCTTATATAGATTTTGTGATCATCGTAAAACCGTCGTAATGTTACCGTGCCACGAGCCAATGCATGACGTGACACGTGGCACATTTACAACACGTGGGGTTACAACAATTGTACGACGATTTGTCAGAATTTTTGTAAAATCATCGTAATGCGCAGTTATTTAATACCTCGTACCTCGGATATTGAAAACACATGAATGGCAGGAATGTTATATGTTTGATGGAATTATACGACGATTTTATGACGATCTGAAGAACAATCGTCGTAATATTGTCGTATTTGTGCAATAATTTTACGACGCTTTCCAAAAAATTCACCAAACCACAAATTTCTAACATGGAATGTTTCACTAAGGATCTTCCAAAGGTGTTTTTATATTAAACTATTGATATATGGAGCCTATATGATGGATTCCGTAAATGAGATAACAATTGTTTCAATCATCTTATCTAATACATAACATTTTACGTAACATTTATGAAAACATGTATGAACTTGCAAATATGTATGATATTTGTCAAACTTCTAATTTTTATCAGAATAACTAGCTTTCATATAAATTAAGCTAAAGTAACAAAAACATTTTTGAAATATAAAATAACCAATCAGATATGAAGGATTCAAAATTTGAGATTATGATTTTACGACGATTTTTCGACGCTTTAACAATGATTTGGACAAAGCATCGTAAATCATTGTATATATACGACACTTTTACGATTTTTCGATGCTTTAATCGTCGTAATATTCATATTATTATACTTAACCTCAAATCATTATACAGCATACTGAATAAGGATTAGGGTTTGATTTTTGCTCATAGAAACATCGTAAAAACGTCGTAAGATGTTTTAGTAAGGAAAAAAAAAATCAAACTTATACTTGCTTATTATACAAAAACAACAATATATATATATATATATATATATATATATATATATATATATATATGAATGGCTAGTAACCATGATAATCACCTTCGTCTTCCAAATCTTCATCTTCGTCACTTTCTTGTTCATCACCTTCGTCTTCCAAATCTTCATCATTGTCATTGCTTTCATCAAATTCATATGAATCACCTTCTTCTTCGGTATCATCGGGGAAATCTTCCACATGACTGTTCTGAGGATCAATTAAAATAATGTCCTCATCAATATCTGGTTCAGTCATGTCTACGCAAGATTCTTGTTGCAGTGGAAGATCCTCAACACCTACAATCTTGCCCCGTAGAGCCCCTTTAATAACAGTTAACCATGACATTCTTGTAGCTCGAACTCGGGGATATGGCACAAATGTGACTTGTTCCCCTTTAGAAGCTAATATAAATGGATCAAATCTGTTGTACCGTCGTGATTGGTTGACATTGACAACTCAAATTTGTTAAATTGTACCCCTCTTCTGACGGTTGGATCAAACCAGTCACATTTGAAGAGAACAGTTTTCATCCTTAACAAACCAGGATACTCCACTTCAACTATTTTTTGCAATACTCCGTAATAATCTATTTTACCCCTTACACAAACTCTGTAGTTAGTTGTTGTCCGCTTTGCGCCGTGAGAGTATGTATATAAGATATAACCTTGAGTAAAATACATGGACGCAGTCGTACTTTTTGCCATCGGACCTAGGAGTAACTCATGGAACCATATTGGATAGTCATCTGGATCAGTAAGTTCCACCTTATCAGAAAAAATTTAGTATACTTCATGTTGTTGATTAACTATATATATATAAAGAGCTATAACAATATATAAATATATATATATATAGATATATATTATTTACTTGCACTTTCAACCACTAAGCAAAGTGTTGGTCTTTACGATCATTGATTTCAGTTTCATCAACACCGGAGATGCATTCTCTTACCTCATTAACGAATGTGGTGCCAAAAATTTGTATATATAATGTCGTCAAAACAAATTAAGTAAGCTCTATATATATAATTAAAACACTAATTAGTTATAATACTTCTCGTACGACGCCAACTTTTTGCAGTTTAGCAAAATGTACATATGTGCGCTGTGATAATCTTTTTCATTTGACCTTCAAACTTCCTTAACTTTTCTACTAAGACGTCTGATTGGTGAGAATATGTCAGGTACATCTTCAATTGCATATGTTTGGCCAACTCCGCCATCATCATATTGTCGGGAAGCTCTTTTACGTGTTCGTATTTTTGGCGCAAAATAGTACAAAGTGAAGTGCGAAGTCTCTTCTG